TCTCTCTCTCTCTCTCTCTCTCTCTCTCTCTCTCTCTCTCTCTCTCCCAGCAGGCCTGCAACTCCTTATGTAGACCAGGCTGTCCTCGAACTCACAAAGATCTGCCTGTCTCCACCTCTCCACGCTCCCCAACTGCTGAGACTAATGGGGCTCTGTTTTTCTTACCTTGTAGAGGACGGACATGAAGAGAAAGGGAGAGTGGAAACAGACTGGTAGGGTGTACCACAGAGTCAGTGCCTCTGTGCCTCAGTTTCCTCTCTCTGGGAAGCGAGATTCACGGCCCTACCTGGGAGATTAGTCCTGCTGCTCCCACTACTATGGAAGGCCGCTTGTCCCATCCCCACTGCTGGTCCCCACTACACCCAGCCTGTTCTAACAGCTGTCCTGTGCCCGACCCTAGGATCTGCAGTGACAGATGGAGATGTGGGCCCTGTGGACTTCGGTCTCCTGGGATCCTTGAGGAGGCAGCGAAAGAGGGTGGATGCAGGGTGCCCGGGAAGGAGTGCCCGGGGAGCAGGTGCTGCCCCAGCGCGGGGCAGGTGCTGCGGGACACAGACCGCCAGCTACTGATGGCCCACTGCGAGCCGCGGGCAGGAACAATACATAGCCAAGGGGAAAAGGTGAGCGGGGCCTTGGCAGGGGACAAGGCCGATGCAGAGAACCCCCCGCCTGCCTGCTTGCTTCCAGCTGGGGACCCAGCGAGTCCCCGTGGGTCAGGGGCTGAGCCCCGACTGAGCCGGCCTGGATTCTGGCGGGGGGGGGGCGGGCCCCCCCCCCCCCCCCCCCCCCCCCCCGCCCCGCCCCGCCCCCCAGTCGCCTCACCTGCCCTGGTGGCTCTAATCTAGGCCACAGCCAGGAGGGAGCCGAGCCCTCATTGGTGCTCACCACGTAGGTTTTTCAGAGATAATTTAATCAGAGCTATTAATAAGCAGAAAAGAAAGAGCTCTTTATGCTTCTCCGGGAGAAAAGGGGAGGGAGGGAACCCTGGTAACCTTGGCATTCACCTGCCCCGCCCCCCCCAGTACCTGCAGCCCCTCAGCGGGGGAGGGGCAGGCAAAGGGGATGGGTTAGCAAGACCAGGGCACCAGCAAGCCATGGGGGGCGGTCATGGAGAGGCCCGGGCCTTCTCAGGGGTGGAGCTCCCCACCCACAGCCCACCCTTGCCCCCTCTGGCCCCTTCCTGACTGCCACACCCCTGCCCCCTCCCTCCCCCCAGCTAGGCAGAGGCTGCTTTTTCGCCACCCATCCTGCCCCTCGCCCGCCCCAAGTGTTATTCTTTTGCTCTTTGCACCTCTCTGGCTTAGCGTGGTTCAGGTCCCAGCTCAAACGTATCCGTCTCCTCTTCCGAGACCCCCTCCCCTCCCCGGGTGATGGCGAGTATTAGATGTCACCTTGACGGGCTCTAGATGGTCAGTCACTAGGGAGAGATGGTCAGTCACCAGGGAGAGGGGGTTCTGTGAGGGATGACGATCAGGTTGGCCTGCGGACGTGTGTGTACGTGTGTGTGTGTGTGTGTGTGTG